CTCCTTCACAGCAATTCTGTATTTTCCCCCCACAGACACAACCCTTTTACCTGCAGAGGACCAAGGAATATTTCTATTTCACTAATTCAACAGCAGGACTCGCATGTAATTCCTCAGCTGTTCCTAAGTACCCCAAACCAAACATAACCACACTGATAAGGTATCAATCTACTGATAAAGAAGCTTAGTAAATAAACAACATATTCAAGATAAGTACATGAAGCAGGTTGTGTTAGATAGGGTAAAGGGACAGGCAATGGTTTTTATTCCCCACACCTTTCTGCCAGTTTGGCTAATAAAAATTACATTACTTACAACTATGCCTACATCCCTGCATCACACCCGTGTGTGAGTACTGTGCTAAGCCCACTCTAATCACTCGTTACTGATAAAAGCCTAACCAAAAAATGCTCAGAAGGTGCTCAGAATTACTGACAACACAGATCCTATTATACTAACCAACTCTGTGGCATCAGTAAATAAAAAACTACTACACCAAAAAAATATCCCACTTAAGAACAAAGCCGTTTATTTTACAATCAAGTTCCTCATGAAATAAGATACAAGCTTTACAATGGCAAACTTTGAAAAAATATTATGTCTGGCTTAGTGACCTGAAGCATAAATATCCATCTCTTCCACCAAGGGAAACCCATTAAAACTTCCTGTTATGAAGTGGCTTGGCTTAAACAACCAAGGGTGGAAAATAACACACACTTAGGTAGGAGGGACAAGAGTAAAATTAAACAGCAGACTTCAAAAAAGCAGGCTAACAGACTTGAGAATGAGTGGCCAGATCCAAAAGGGCTGCCAGGCCAAGCAGATTTGCCACAAAGAGGTAGTTTTTAATCAGTTAGTTCCCTCTGGCACGGAGTTACAGTGAATGGTTAGGAAGGAAGCAACAGAAGTTGTCTCACCCAACTTCAGCACAGCTACTGATGTACTGGAATATCTGCAGTGTGTGGGTGAAAGTGTTTCAACACATCTTTAGCTTCACAGCAGAGAGTCAAACTCTGAGCAGGAAAGATTAATCCACAGTGATTAAAGGCAACACACTGATGGGCTCCAATAATATTAAGTATATTCACTGCTTACTCAGACATCAGGAAAGTACCTCACTTCTCTAGCACACAGTGCTTTACACTAAGACCAGGAGGGCAAGATCTGAAATCAGAGCGACTAAGTAGTAGATCTGGGAGGCCTTACACTTAGAGCAATAAAGACAAATGCAAACGTCTGTTCTTTGGTTAAGGCGCTAGGAAGGCTCCTGCATAAGGTCAGGGTAGATGATAACTAACGCATCTCCTACAAGAAGAAGATTTAGGGGGTTACGACGGGTTGTATATTTGAATCTGAAAATAGCAGAAGAGTCACTCATTGAAAAGGCTACTGTGAGGTAAGAGAGTAAGTTAAACTGCTCTTCGTTCCCTGTGTGACAGAACTGGGAGGCAAGAGCTATGAAGAAAAAGAAACTTCAGATTTCATTTCAAATGGTCACTTCATCAGCTCAAAGCGAGAAAGTCTCTGCTCCTGTCACTTCCTGGTTGCGCCAATTCAGTAGTGAGGGCACGCACAAGGCAGCTGATAACATGACTGATCCTTTGAAGCATTAGAAGTCTCAGCAAGGCAGTTTCCACACTCCTTCCGTCAGAGTCACATCTTCAGCAAATTAAAAACCTGACACTTGACCACATTTTAGCCCTTAAAATACAAAGTTTGGCTGATGTCAACGGCGGGCCAGCTGATAGCACAACTTTACAGCAATTGAGTAGGTTCACAAACAAGAGGTGGCAAACTGGCATGTCAGACCTTAAACAATTTAGCTCTAAGAATAACCCTTCAGTCATTTGTAGATGAACATTCACCAACAAGGCAAAGGAAAGGTCCTCCTCTTACAGCCAGCTACTATAATCAGAACAAACCAGTACAAAGTTGCCTTCATTCCACTGAAGGCAAGCATGGCAAGAGTTATCTAGAAAAGGGCAAGTCTGGGTCAGCCTTTGATTTAGGCACTTACAAAAAACATTCTATTCTTTACATGTCAGATCAAGTATTTTTCAAAGGAAAACAGCCTCTGTGCATATAGAGCAATTCCACAATGTATTTCTGTTGTCATTACTTTCATTTCTGTTTCTACATAGCATTCTGCACCATTTATACCCAAGTATTTTAGTATCTCCTTCTAGGATTCCCTTCCAAATGGAAGACAAAAAAGGACCACCACACAAAAAGACAAGTGATTTTCCCTTTATAAGTCAAATTTAATTATTAAATTTAAATACCAGCCAGTCGTTTGTCTTCAGCTCTCTGACTTTTTACAAAGAGCTGGAGAAGTGATACAGCCACACACAAACAATTCATGCCATTCAAACGGGAGGCCCACCTCTGCCCTGTTAGCAGTGCCACTTCTCCAGCAGTCCACACGTACAGCCACTTGTTTCTCCCTCAGCACGACCAGCTCAGTTGTGCTGGACAGCTGGAGGACCAGAGCACAGAAATCCTCCGGCTTACAAGTAACCACATTTCACAGAATCACAGAATAGTTAGGGTTGGAAAGGACCTTAAGGTCACCCAGTTCCAACCCCCCTGCCATGGGCAGGGACACCTCACACTAAACCATCTCACCCAAGGTTTCATCCAACCTGGCCTTGAACACCGCCAGGGATGGAGCATTCACAACGTCCCTGGGCAACCCATTCCAGTGCCTCACCACCCAAACAGGAAAGAATTTCCTCCTTATATCCAATCTAAACTTCCCCTGTTTCAGTTTGAACCCGTTACCCCTTGTCCTGTCACTACACTTCCCTGTTTATTTTTCTTGCTGTATCAGTTGTGATCCAGCTCCAGAAGCTGTGTCATCCCTTCTGCCACAGCAGCTCAGGGACAGGAACAACTGTGACTGCTGAGGAGAGGTCACACGCTCCCTCCTGTTCCCAGCCACAAGTTCCCACTTCTCTGTCACATGAGATCACAAAAAGCCCTATGTGTAGAGGCAATTTTGAAGGGTTTTGGAACAACATTCCAGGTGCTTTGTGTATGATACAAAAAGGACAGTAACATTTGGACAGATAAAACCATCGCTCCAGCACAGCACTTAACTGAGGGGGAACTGCCAGTTTGCCAGTATAACTGGCCCACTGAGGCCAGCTTCTCCTCCTGCTAGGAGACAGGCCCAAAACTAAGTGGAAAAGAACATGGCTGTCAAACCTGAATCAAACATACCCATCCTTCAGTTGCTTCAGCACTTGTAAGCGCAACAAGTTGCTGCCCTTTTTACTCTAAACTCGTTTGGAAACCGACTCCTTTCCTCACCAGTACCATTGCAAGGACCAGCCCCCTTGCTTTCACCTCCTTCTTCCACAACTACAAGCCCTTTATTGACAGTCTGCTTCTAAAAGTTCATGGTTTAAAAATATCTAGCCAAAGTCAGGAAGTGCAGCTTACAACCAGGCTTTTGTTTTCCTATTAAAAACTTCTTGTGTTCACTTTTTCTTGTCTTCATCGAGTATTCCAGTGTCACTCTAAAATACATGAAGATAAGCAATACCATTCCCAGGAAAAAAATCCTATCCCAGCAAAGAACATCTGCAGTTCTTCATCTTTTGACATACAACCCATATGAATTATGTGGTTGTATCTCTTCATTCTAAAGCCAACGCTTACACATCATCATCTTAACGCTTACATATCCCAATGCTTACACGTCATCATCTTAAAGCAGTACTTTTGTTTGCAAACTTTTAAAACTTTTAGTTATGAGGATGCTGACTAAGCAAGTGTTACACCAGTGACTACTGCTGTCATTCAGAAAACTATGCTACATGCATACATAGTTTTCATAAGAGCAATGCAATTGTTTGCTGTGACGGAAACACCAAAGTATGCAAACAAGAGTTTGTTAGCAAACTTGACTTAACCACAGCAGTATGACACTAGCATGAAGTGGTATCAGTGCCATTCTAACACAAACGGGATCTTGGCCTTTGGCTCAAATTGTAAAACACATGCAGCTGATGCTCCCTTTTCCCTCCCCCACATTTTGTTAAAAGCGACTTCATGGTGAGCTGAGTAATAGCTCTGGGCTTCCTTTTCACTCCACAACTGAAGGGACACTAACTACAGGATGGGACAGAGAGAAAAATCTACCAGAACTGCTCCACGTTGTTGCGATTCCCTCAGAGCAGGCAGGGCTGGAATCATTCGAGTCCTTGCCTTTCCACCAAACTCAAACGAGCAGGTATCAAGTTCCTGCTCAGGAGCTGAGCTGCTGCAAGCAGCCACACGAGCTCACCAGCTGCTTCAGCTCCAAGGTACGGAGCAAGCGCGGCACAGTGCGCTGCGATTTAAACAAGCCGTGTCTGACTGCGCCGTTGACAATGTGACAAGGTGCACTTGCAGTGAAACTGACACAGCCAAACCCTTGCCTTTTGTATATTTTAAACCCGAGTAATCCTGCACACCCCGCTACATCCTGCTGTTGCGTTCAAAGCGAATACGTGCCCGCACCAACAGCGATAAATTGCACTGACATTGGTGCAAACATTAGGAAAGCAAGTTTCAGAAAGTCGTGTGCTTTTAGCACTTGACACCCAGGCTCTGGGAAACAACGCTGTTCATCCTTAGCGCCTGCCTTCAGAGCGCACCGACCGCTCCCCCCAGCCCTGCAGCCGCACAGTCCTGGTCAGGGGAGCACGGGGAGCACCAAGAGGCCTCCGGAGCTGCCGAGCCGTGTCCCGCGGCCTCACCTCACGGCCCCGCTCCAGCTCACCTGACACCAGCAAAGCCCCGGCCGCGGCTGCACCTTCTCAGGCCGCCGCCCGGCCGGGAGCCCGGTATAGCCCTGGACGGCCTCAGGGCCCTGCAGCGAGGCGGTGGCACCGTTAACCCAGCCCGAGCCCCCGGACGCGGAAGGACCCGTGCGGCCGCGGCCCGGCAGCTGCCGCCAGGCCGCTCGGAGCCGCCGAGGCCCGGAGGCCGCGGCCCGCCCCCGCCGAACTCACGCATGAGGGTGCTGAAGGCCACGACGCCCAAGAGCCCCTGCAGGAAGATGCCGAAGCTGTCCATGAGGGCCCCGTTCTCGCAGCCGCGGTCTCCCGGCCCCACCGCCGCACCCCCGCCCGGCTGCGGGGGGCCGCCGGTGAAGCCGAGGCTGCCGTTGGGCGGCGGGAGCCCCATGGCGAGACCCGGCCAGCGCCCGCCTCAGCGACGCATGGCCACGGCGACGGCGCAACCGGCGGCAGAGCCCCCGCCCCACGCCCCGCTACGTCACCGGCGGCGCCGCGATCCCATTGGCAGAGCCCCGCCCCTGCGGCCCTCGCGGGTCAGCCCCGCAGCTCGGCGTGAGGAGGCGGGGAGAGGCGGGTCCGCTCGGCGGGCGCCGTGAGCCCTGCGCGCCTTGGCCCCGGTGCTCCGAGCTGCAGCAAAGCAAGAGCTCAGGAACGCAAGCGGTTACCTGAACAGAGCAGCGACCAAAGCAGCTGCCTGCTCCCCGCCTTGCACACGCTGATCGCATGCCTCAAGCGCTGCCCTTCAAACAGGGACCTGACCCGCTTCCACAGCTGCTGTCCAACATCGGACGTCCCCCCCCACACCCGACCTGGACACTGACACTGGCTGAGGATTTACCCAGTGCTTCGTTTAAACACGAGATCTACGTTTGAGCCAGGGATCCGGAAACGCAACTTGAAGCGCTTGCGCCTCGTTACTCCGTAGTCCACGCTTCAAAACAGAGCGGTCTCCCCAAACACCTCGAGTTTTCAGCTCCTCACACCTCCTCTGAGCCCTTCTGAACCCCGTGGCAGACAAGCCGCTGCCTCTAGTCACACGTCTCTCGGGCAGACGCCACTCCGTGAAGGTATCGAAGATTTACCTTAAACCCTACACGCTTCCGTGCTTCAGGGCAGCGTTAAGCAAATTTTCATCTCACTGCTACGTATTTTCTGCACCCAGTGTAAAATCAGTTCAAGCCGACTGAAGCGCAGGCAGGAAACAAGTGCTGAGGAGCATATGGGTACAATCTGCTGAAACCCCAAGTAAGGAAACAAAACCTTTGCAAGGCTGACTTGCCTGAAACATCCTGTGGAGCCTCAGGTTGTTTAGGGAAAGCAAAGTCAGCTCTTTTCCTTTTTAAGACTCCAACGTGCTGGGTAGGGTAAAACCTTTACAAACCCATTCCGAAGGAGCAGCAGAATCTGCAAGGTTCACTTGGGATCTTCTCAAGCATCTTCTTATGTTCAAAGCAACCCATGAAAGAAACTAACCTCGATTCATAGGTTCTTCCTCAGCTCCTGTATATTCATTTCAGCATCCCATGAAACAAAACCTGTTACCTTTGAAGAAGGCTTTGATAAACAGGACTCCTGCATTTGAGGGAGCTGTATACACCCCAGCCAAGCTCTTACCATGATGCCCATGCAATTGGTATTTATGTGGGTGATATGGTTTAGTGTGAGGTGCCCCTGCCCGTGGCAGGGGGGTTGGCACTAGATGATCTTAAGGTCCTTTCCAACCCTAACTATTCTATGATTCTACGATTCTATGTGCATTTACCTTTCATGCAAGTAACAGAACATGCTTTACAGTTTTCAACCCCCACTTTGTGCAAGATAGGAAACTACTTATGGTAAACAGCACGCACACATTAACACCAGAACCTCCACGAACAGTTTAAGCCTCTTTTTTAATTTTCTTACAACCACTTAAAACTGTCATATACCACAAATTTATGTACACTATTTACAGACAAAACAAGCAAAATACCCATCCAAAATAGTTTTTAAAAAATCCTCTTATTAAATTGTTACACCTGCTCAAACAATGGTGGGACTTCATAGGCATATTTTCTTGTGCATGTTTCTCTTCCATGTAGTACTTCAGTCTCACTGCATATATATATATATTTAAAAGTTAAAAGAAAGATAAAACAACAAGCAGAAGGGACACAACACAATATGCATTTAAATCTTTGTTTAAGAACAAGCAGCTAATTAAAAAAGGCAAAATACAGGAAAAGTGCATCAGTTCCAATGAGTTAGTATAAGAAAAGAGGCCCACAGGTGGAGCGCAGGTACCCTTCAGGGCAGAGCCTCCTAAAAGACCTCTGATTGTCTATAAAGATTATTTAAAATTTATTTAAAACAAACTGGGGGGGAAAAAAGCAATGAAATGAGAGGAGAAACACGACACCTCCAGACTGATTTTGTTCTCCATGAGGTTTCTTGGAAACTGGTGCTCAACAGCTTTCAGAGTGGGCAGGAACTCGTCGGTGTCCGGACCTCATTGTTCATCCATGTCACTGGAGTGAGCCGGCCCCAGATCCCAAGCAGAAGGCCTACTCCTCTTGTACTGTGCAAGGCTAGGGGGCTTCCACAGCCTCTGCGCCACGGCTGTGCTACGTCACTTAGACCTACTGCCTCTGAATTCTGCCAGTGCAAGACCTGCTCACTTCCAGGGTTTAAAGCTGGGCTTTACACCTAACAGTAACTTTGTCTTCTCATCTAAAAGTCCATTTGTAAGTCTGGTGCATTTCAGAACAGATGTGATCTTGAGGAAGCTAGAAATGACCGCGGAGACAAAGCGTCACTAACCTTAACTCATTTTTGCCATATTTCATACACATTATTAATTACTTTTTTTTTTTTTAGAAAAAACACTTCACAATAAAAGGCTTGTTATATCTGGTGCTCCCAAGTCCCATTCTAATCCTTCACCCAAAAGGCTGCCTTTGAAAACAAGGCTACATGCATGTTTGGGGAAGGTCGGCAGCACTCTGAAACGGGTTCAGCACACAATCCCTTTAAAATGGAGCCTTCAGCCACCGTTTGAAGTCTCCTGACAGAGCCTATGTCTTTGTGCTTAGTTACTTTTAGGTAATTTGAGCTCACAGTAGGCAGTAACCAGCCTGCCACCATGTGACAAGACTGGTTAAGGAGTAGCTTTGTACAGGATCATTGTATTTTTGGCTTTCTGGTAAGGCTACTTCATCTAGTAACTTCTCTAACAACAGATTTGGTCCAAAGGTATGCAGTTTCCAGTATGAGCTTGACAGTTTTGAAGCCTATTCCATTACATTCAAAAATCTCACAAGCCACTTTGCTTTTTGCCAACAACTTACCAAGTCTTTGTATACAGAGGAATGGAGTGCTCAGTCAAATCAACTGTAAATATATTTACACTTCTGCAGACCTAGCAGCCAGATACTCCTTCCCTCCTTTAAAGCATCACTGGAATCAAGAATAAACACTAGCAAATCCTAAAGAAACAATAAAATACTGCTGAAAGCTTTGACAAGGAAAAGTAATTTTAACAACCATTCCCAAGCTCTGTATGTACTGTTTCCATTTCCCAGGAGAGACTACAAGCACTCCGGGAGTTCTACACAACACACAAATGATCTGCCTTTTACTTCATTCCTCAAAGAGCAACTCACAGAAATGTCTAGCATTAGAAAAAAGTAGTCTTTGTTCACCAAGATCAGTGCTGTAACCCTCTGCGTTCAGTTTAGGATGGACTGAAGCTGCTCAGGCTTTGGGGGACAATTCTACCACATTAACCTTCTATGACATGTATGGAGGTCAAATACTTCTGTTACGGAATTGTTGGGGTGGTACAGACAGCTATAGTAGCTCAAGAAAACACTTCTGCCTAACAAGGTTTAGCTTAGCACAGTACAAGTGCCATGTGGAGGCACCACCAGGTTTCCAAAGCTATGATGTGCAAAACCAAGACTGTACCTATGAAAATACACAAGAATACAAACCCTCAGTGGGTCAGCCAAAGGTAGTCTCTTTTTACCATCCACATCAACAAGGCCCAGTGGAGGGCACATTTTCTTGTACTGAAGACATTAGCAAGCCATCAATGTACTCCACTTTTGTTGTATTTTATGATGAATGATGTGGTAGAGGACAGCACAAATCCCTGAAGCCTAAATTACTGCAGCCCCAGCAATTCCTGCTGGTGAAACATCGACAAGACTCAGCCAAAATCCAGTTTTGAAGAAAGAGAGCAACTAAAGCAGCATGTGAGCTGATTTCAAGTCATGTTGGAGTAAAATGAACAAACACAAGTGCAGTTGTGTCATCTGCCACACACAGAGAAAGAGGAACTTGAAACAGTCAAGTAGAAACACCATTCATCAAGATAAAGCCCCAATTATCCCTTTTAAATCCAGCAATAAAACAGAGTGCATTTTTTCCAGGAAACAGAGTGTACAGTACCCGTGTGCATAAAAACATTTCACAAATAATGAAAACATCCCTTTTGAAAACCTCAACAAAAATAGATCCCATTGGGACCAGACTGTCAGTGCCTCCCAAAACAAGGCAGAAAAATCCAGCCTATAAAACATGCCAAAGGTGACCAGGAAGTATCCCACTAAGCTCTGAAACTGCTGACTGCTTTATTTACTGCATGGAAAAAAAGTATGACATTTGTATTTAAAACCCTAGGTGCCACATTAACAGGTTCACTAAATCATCCTTTAAGCTCTGTTCTCTCCTGCCAATTACTTAAAAAGACATCTATCTGCCCACGGGGAAAGGTGGAAGCAACATCTCTTGGCTATGCAGGTCAGTTCTGCTGGGTATCAGTGCAATGGTGTTCTGGAAACCCTGAAGAATGACAAATCTGATCCAAAAGCATCATCTTCTACCCCAGAAGTTCTCTGCTGGTCACATTTCTGAAGACAAGATGCTGACAGCAAAGCAGCAGTGTTTCTTTCAAAACCTTTTTCAAGCCTAATGGCTTACCACTGAGCTTGCCCTAAGAGAGGGGAGTACAGGTGCATGACCTAAGCAGAATATGAAAGCCGTTTACTGCCCACATACACAGTGTGAGGAAGAAGGAGGCACGCTTTGATTTCAGTTTAATTGTGTTTTCAGACTCTGCTTACAACTTGGGAGAAAAAAACTCATCCTAGCTACATACTGCCCTCCCTCTCTCAGGAACACCCGGCTATTAAACAGCAGTAAATGTCTGACATTTACTTACTGGTTCTGGAATGGGGAAAAAAGTCTCATTTAGTACTTCTGTAAATAGTGCTGCCTTTAGTAGGCAGTTTTTCTAAGGGGCAAAAGAAATAAACCCCAGTTATTTTGCTGCTTACTCTGAACAGTTTTCATTGAAGGTAGCTCCCCCTCAACACCTATGTGGCAGATGCAGACACACTGTGCAAACTCCACTTAGTTTACAATCTACCTCCTTGCTGAATCCCACAGCTCACAGCATCAGAGTAACTGATCGCA